CATTATCCATCTGGATGAATAAGGATTATAACCCTTTTAAAGAAAGCCTCAGGCATTGAAGTGCTTCAGGACCCTTCTACAGTTGAGTAGGATATATAAATATACCTATATGTATATATATAGGTAGAAATGCACCACTTGCCTAGGACCAAGTTGGCTGAAGAGCTGGAATATGTGAGGGTCTCTGCAGAGCTCTAGACACAAACTACTGAAAGGGCCCCTCAGAGGGCTGGAATACCCCAGTAACACAAGTACCCCATTTCTGGAACCCGACCTCATAGGATGGTACATTTTTACACTGAATGCTCCTTTCAAGCATTTTGGCAGCACTTGATATTGCAAAGTACAGAAATTCTGTATCCTTTGTAGAATAGAATTAAACATAACTGTCCTGAATATCTTAAAACCACTGTAAGACTAAACTACATGATGAGGGGTGATGAATTTTTTAGGTATCCTACATCTTCTCTGCTTCAGTGCTTTTATAAAGCTTGCTACCATGTATCCTTTGACACTTTTCTGTCCATATGCAGGAATATCTGAAATATTTTAAATGATTCAGATTGAAGTTTGAGCTGCTATGTGCTCTAAATACTCCTCTGTGCTGAGCAAGTTGAGGTTGTAGATAAAGTTCTTCTTATCATCTGTAGCCTCAGTGGACTTTATTTCTTTCAATCACCTTTGTTTTTTTCCTTCCTACCTCCTGCAAACTGCTTTATTTCTGATTAAAAAAAAAAAAAGTTATTTTATGGATTGGATTTTTTCATGGGGGTTTTTCCCAGATTATGCAGTTCTCACTTTGATTACTGCAGACTGAAAATCTCCCCACCCGCACATCCTGCTCTGATACCAAGGTTTATGTCCTGAAGGCGGCAGAGAAATTTATGAAGTTAAATATAGGTAATTTTTGTTTCTGTATAAAAAACAGTCCGGAAGGCTGCAACTCTCTCTTCACTCCCATAAATTGACCTATATCCTTCTATCATGTGCAATATTTGGGTCAGGTTTGCTGTCTTGATGCCAGCTCTTCCTTTACATGAGCTGCTTAATATGATGATTATCACTCAACTGCTAAACTTCCATAATTCAACCCATTTTGCTAATTAGCTTAGAGTGTGAGAAGCTGATGTTTAGGTCACTCAGCTGTCTTGCTTTAGCAGTTCATTATCACCCCAAGAAACATGGCTCAAATAGACCCAAAGCACAAGACAGAAAGCTGCAGGAAAAGGGAAGAATTAGCCTGGTCTTTACGAGCCAGCTGCATCCAGCTTTCCTCCAGGTCTTACAACTGCACCTTTGAATCCCCTCACACTGTTCCCAGTGACCCAGGGAGTTGTAGAAGCAGAGCAAGATCCTCCTATGAACTGTTTGGGAGCTCTGGGAAAGGGGATGCCTTGTTTGAGCATCTGATGGGAGGATGTAGTGAATTATCCATCATTTGTGAAGTGAGTAACTCCCAGGATTGGGAGTAACATAGAGAACATATTTTATATTGGAGAACTTGCACAGGGTTAGGACAGGCTCTTCGGAAGGGACAATTAATCCTTTCCTCAGCTGAAATGCAGAAAGGTAAACCCTGTTTCACGGGGGTAATACCCAAACTGGCATTTTGTTCCAGCTCCTTTTATCAGTGCCTGGCTATCGTGGGTCCTGTCTGCTTCTGTCTCCCTCTGAAGACAAAGGTGGGACTTGCACTGCTGGCAGAACATGCTGCAGACCCCAGGACTGACTCTGGCAATATGACATGTTTGCCATACCCAGGCCACTGATGGCTGGACAGGAATTACTTCTTTGTGCCATGCAGATGCATTTTTTGAGACATGTTCAAATACATGTTTGAATAAACAGTTACTACAGGCATGTGAGCAAGAAAACACCCAGCATTAATGTCTGGCTTCAAAATCAGGTCGGGGGGCTGCTTCCAGAGACAATATCATGACTATGAACACAGGAAAGAGTGCTGGGTGATTCCATCAAAACATGCCTGGATTTTGCCCCACTTTCCAAATAGTAGTGAGATACTTGTTTTGTTGCTAAATAACCATGAAAGCTCTGTTTTGAGCTTTGAATCTGTTTGATAACAGGCTGTAGAACAAGAAACAGTTCAGCTGTCACGCACTGCACTGTGTTGTGCCCCAGTTTTCACATGATGGGAACATTAAACTCCTCTCCTACATTAGCAGGTGTGCCAATAGGCTGCAGCTGATATTTTAGTCTGAGGAGTCAGGAAGAAAAGGTTGCACAGCACTGCACTGCAAATGCATTCACTCCCAAAGCCACAGCAGGAGACAGGGAGATGGGAATTAACCACAGCAGATGGAGACATAAAGCTTGGTTAAGTCTCCTTCACCCCCAACAGGCTCCTTTTCTCTCGCCCTCCTCCCCGGTATATCCTGCAACAAAGCCTGTAACAACCACCAAAAAAGGAAATTCCTGAGCTCATTGCTTAACCAGGCTGTAAGATACAAGCCTAACCTACGCCCAACAAGAGACTGGAACTGAGTTTGACTTTGGGGTTGTTTTTCAGACAACAAGAGAAAAACACACGCACATTTATTTATTTATTTATTTATTATTTAGAGTGCAATAGCAGCAAGAAATGAAAGAAATCTGTTGTAGCACAGAAGAGAGCAGCACTATTCTAAGAGCATGCTTGAAAATGGGGTTTATATTTACTGTGCTTGTACAATGTTTGGATTCCAGTTCTGCTAAAATAACAGCATACTGCAATGGCACACACTGTACACACTGCTGCTGAATTAACAGAACTGGAGTGCTTGCTACTGAAACATGCCAATTTGCATAAAATTAGTTATGAAGAAAATGAAAATAAACTTAACCAAAGCTGTAAATTAAGACGTTGAGATTTTGAGGCAGAGAATATCATGGTACTGCTTCACCATCTGTTGAAGGAGTGTCCAGGCTCATTCCCACAATGATGTAGGAATTGTGCTTCATTACCAGTGGTAGCCTTGTACTGGATGGTGCCCTTATTCCAGAAAAGAGCTGGAATGCAGCAGGAAGCAAACTGTAGAGTGCTACACTTGACATTCCCCATCATTCTTAACTTCTCATTTAGAAACACTGTAAGGAGCAATGTCAGCAGCTCCCTGTGGGCTGGGAAGGGTCATCCAGGGGTCTCCTGAGAAGCAGCCCTGCCACCAAGAACAAGACTGATGTTATATCCCCTCTGTCTTGGCCACCATCACAGAGAAAATGAGTCAAGGAGATCACAGAGATCGAGGAAAAAACAAGAGCTTGGCTCTCTCTGCCTGCTCCTGTTTGAAGTCACAGCATTTTACATCCTTGCTGCATGCTTCACTGAGTGCCAGGCACTAGAGAATCAAGCTCAGCTCCTGTAAAATGAGTGTGAAATCAAAGTCTGGAAAGTCCAATAAAACCAAAGGTGTGCTGGTACCTCCTACTATTCGTGTTATCTCACACATCTCTGGAGGCGATGATTTTTATTCCTTGCCTGCCTTTCTGAGTATGATGTAACAAGATGATTTGACACAAGATAAGAACTTTCTGTCACAGAAATGGAGAGGACAATTCCCCACCCCATGTTCCCAACCTTCTCCTTTCCTTCTGCCTATGCACACTCCTCTCTCAAAAGCTCTCCCTGATGCTCACAGGGCACAGAGCACAGTGTGTTAACTTATTACAAAAGCTGAAAACTTAACAAAAAAGCCTGCAGTGATGTTTTTATGGGGTTTGGGGCTGCATCAGTTTGCTTTGCAACCCAGTGCCGGATGGTGGTGGCACAAGCAGTGACAAGAAAAGGCTGCACAGCCAGTGAGGGGCTGGAGGAGCAGGGAGGGAAGAAAGGAGAGTGGGATGAGGAAGCAGGAACAGGGGTGAAGGAATAAAATCACCTTCTCCAAAGCAGTAACGTTTTAATTGCAGCATGGAACTGCATCCCTTTCTGAATTCAGCAAATTGCTTACAAATGAAAACAAATCAGCCTATTTTGCAGCCAGGCTTGTACTCACTGTTAATTGTAAAGTGTAGCTCAGTTTGGAATATTCAAATATTCAACTCATTGTAAATTGTAAAGTGTAGCTTAGTTTGGAATATATGAATATTCAGATATTCTGTGCATCATTTCAGGCTTTCTCATCAAATAAATCCTACGATTTTGGATCTTCCTTGCATGTTCTTAGAAATAATTAACAGGATCCAAAGTAATTATCATTCGATTGATTTTTTTTAGCAAATGATCGATCTGGATGAGTGAATCTGTGAATGACACCGCGTGTGCGGTGATGGGTCGCTGTCACCAAGGCCATTGCTGCCATCTGCTGAGAGAGAACGGCACAGAGTTGGCCAAGCGTCGAAAAATCCTCCTTGTTGGCCATTCGGAGAGAAAATCCTGCAGAAACGATGCCAGCAAGCCCAGCTTCGGTAAAAAACTTACATCCCGCATGTTAATTTCAACTCCCCCGAGAAGAAAACGGAAAGAAAAGCAACGAAGCCCAACAGTTACGGTCAGATTTAGTGTATTCTGCTGGCGGGAGGCTGTAAACACTTCCCAGGGGGACCTCAGAGGTCTTTTCCAACTGAATTGATTTTGTGATTTTTGTGATTGCTGCGATTTCTGTGCTTTCTGTGATGCTCTGTCTCCCTGACGAGCGCTGTCCCCGCTCCGCTGAGGGACGCCGGGCTGGTCCCTCCCGCCCCCGGCAGCTCCTGCTGCCTCACAGCGGCTTGTGGTGAGGGAGCCCCGCACCCTGAGGAGCCATGGACCGCTGAGGGGCCAGAAAACCCTGAGGGATCACAGAAGGCTGAGGGGTCACAGAACGTGAGGGGCCAAACACCGCTGAGGGGACCCCGCGGCCCCAGGACGGAGCAGCCCCGGCCCCGCCATGAAGGGAGCCACGCCCCGCGCGTGGCCCCGCCCCCGAGCGAGCTGAGTGGAGGAGTGCCTGACTGCTCTGCGCGACAGCCAATCAGAGCGCGGCACTGCTAGGCCTCCAACCAATAGCGAGCGAGAGCAGAGGGCGGCCGGGCGGAAGCGGCCGCGGCGGCGCTGAGGGAGCGCGGCGGGCGGAGCGGGCAGGTGAGCGCGGGAGGGCCGGTGAGGGGTTCGTGCCCTCCGCCAGGATGTGGTTTCGGCTCTTGTCTCTTCCGCGTTGACTTGGCGAACCCCGCCGCGGGGTTTGTGCCTCCTCAGAGCCCGGCTCAGCGCAGGGTGGCGGGTGTGGGCCCTGCCGGGTTTCTCTCGTGGGCGCGGGTGAAGAGGGGAGGCCGCCCGAGGAGCGGCTGAAGGCGCTTGGTCTGGTCAGCCTGGAGAAGGGCACACTGAGGGGGATCTCACTGCAGCTTCCCCCCGAGGGACAGCGCCTGTCTCTGCCCTCTGACCAGTGACACGGCCGAGGGAACGGCTGGAGCTGTGCCAGGGGAGGGTTAGGCGGATATTAGGAAAAGGTTCTTTCTCCAGAAGGTAGTTGGGCACTGAGCAGGTTCCCCAGGCTCTCCTTGTCACAGCCCCCAAGCCTGAAAGAGTTCAGGAAGCCTTCGGGATACAATCTCAGGCACGGTGGGGAAATTATTGGGGTGTCCTGTGCAGATCCTTGTGTATTCCTTCCAGCTTGGGATATTCTGTGATTCTGGGGGGTTTGCCCACCAGGCCTCAGCCTCATCTGAGGAAGGGGGTCACCCCTCTCCCTTCGACTGCCCAGTTTACAGGTTGGTCTTTCATATTTAGGGAAATGAGTGTTCTGTGTTCTTCTAGTACAATTAATCTTGCTATAAGTAAGCCTTAGTGAAAAAGTAATGTGGATTTGCCATGAGTTTCCTGTATTCTGCACATGGATTTGTCTTTTCTGGCTCATTTTCTCACTGCCACCTCCCATATTTTGTCTTTGTTTACATTTATATCATAACCTTGTGACACAAATTATTAACATTTGTTTCTTGGGTCATTCCCTAGGAATTTCATCTGGCAAACATGGGTGAACCTCAGCAAGTGAGCGCCCTCCCTCCGCCTCCAATGCAATATATCAAAGAATACACTGATGAAAATATCCGTAAAGGGCTGGCTCCAAAGCCCCCTCCGCCTGTCAAGGACAGCTACATGATGTTTGGGAACCAGTTCCAGTGTGATGACCTGATCATTCGGCCCCTGGAGAGCCAGGGCATCGAGCGGCTGCATCCTATGCAGTTTGACCACAAGAAGGAGCTAAGGAAACTTAACATGTCTATCCTGGTCAACTTCCTGGACCTCTTGGACATCTTGATAAGGAGTCCAGGGAGTATAAAGCGAGAGGAGAAGCTGGAAGACTTGAAGCTGCTTTTTGTCCACGTGCATCACCTGATAAACGAGTACCGGCCCCACCAGGCCAGGGAGACGCTGAGGGTGATGATGGAGGTGCAGAAGCGGCAGCGCCTGGAGACGGCCGAGCGCTTCCAGAAGCACCTGGAGAGAGTGGTGGAGATGATCCAGAACTGCCTGGCGTCCCTGCCCGATGACCTGCCTCACACAGAGGGCGGGCTGAGGGTCAGCGTGGAGCCCATGGATGCTGATGATGGCAGCAGCTGCGCTGGGCAGAGCGAAAAGCAGAGGGAGCGTTCTGGGGGCAAGAGAGATCAAGTTCTGGACAAGGATGCAGCAATGTGCAGCATTATTGATGAAATGACATGAAGCAAGCAGCTGGTTTTGTTACTGCACCGCAGTGAGAGACAGGAGGGGTTCTGAGGATACACGTTGTGTTTTGTTTTGCTGTTGTACAAGCAGACAAAGCATTTGTTGTGCACCTGTTGGAGGTTGTGAGTGACTGGGCAGATGAAAATGTTTAAAGTTTTGTGGTTTTTTGGTAAAAATGAAAAAGTCTAACTTTTGTTAAATGTATCATGTGAGATGGTAGGCACAGATTAAAGCTGGCTTTTCCTGTTGTACTTTCATTTGTCACTTGCTGCTTGTTTTGAGTATGCCATTCTGTAATTCTGAGGCAAGAAGAAATTCCTACAGAAATGGTGTTTGTTTCTTGCATAAACAACACACAGGAACTTGGAAAACAGGTGGACAGAAACTCAGATTACATCAAGGCATTCGTTATGGTCTGTGTCTGAGGTGAAATCTAAAGCAATGGGTTAACTGTTGTCCTGTAGCTCTCACATCCTTTTATTCTGTGACCAAAATGGCTTTCCTGGGATCCTGGCAGAGCCAGCCTGCCCTGCCTTTCCCATTTTTGCAGAGCAGTTTCAGGATCCTGGTGGTAATTATCAGAATTGTTCCTCTAGGAGCTCTCTGCAGTTTCCTCAGAAACCACAAGAACTGAGAGGAAGCCTTCTCTTACCAGCTGCTGCATGCAAATTCACCCTTCATCCCTCTTTCTATCACTTCTTTTTTTCAAGTGTGTTGCCAGTTTGTCTCTCAGCTACATTAATCCCTTGGTTTTCCTCATTTTCACTTAGAACACCCGTCAGTTTGGTGCTTCTGTTCTCCTATAAGGTAGTCATGAAAGGCAAGGTTCCAATTTTAACATCTTCCACTTACTCATAAATAACTCCTCAGTATTTAAATTAACCTGTATAAAAAACTGTGAAGTAGTTTAGCTGCTTCAGCAAAGAACTTTTCTTGGCTCTTGATCTCAGGTGCAGTTCTAGCCCAAACAATATAAAAATACAAGATATCCTTGAGGAGAGGGTGGTGATTGAGGCACAGGGAGAGTGGCCAGGGGACAGCATTTCTCAAAAGCTGTATTTCAGCATTTTTTCAGAGTGAGCCTTGATTCAGTTTCCACACTACTTTTGCAAGCCTCCTCTCTATTCTGGATGTTTATGCAGATGCACCTGACATTTTTAAATATGAAAAAGGACTGGCACTACATTAGACTCAGCTGTGTAACAGTTTTCCAAAACCATCAAATTATTACTGGCAAATAAAATTTGCCAGAAGATGCTCTGAGTTTCTTCTGAGTATTAGAACCAGAAACTTACGATGAAAAGCTTGAATGGTTGATCCTACAACTCTGTTACTTGGCCAAGCCCTTTCCACTTCCCACAGTCTGCTGTGCATTATGTAATCTTCTATCCAAAGCTCGTCTGCTGTGGCAAAAGCAGGTGTGGGAAGCAGTCTGGGGCAGTGGATTGCTGACACTCAGCTCAGTGCTGCTGGCAAGTTTCACTTACAGTCATCAAACAGATCTGGCAAAAACGAGAAGCAGATTTGTGTGGTGCTGTGAAGTGCTGTCACCTCTCAGTCAAAGCCCCGCCAGCAGGAGCTCAGTGCACTTGTACCCTGCCCCAGCAGCTGTGCTGCAGCACACAGCACAACCAAAACAGCCCAGCGTGGGCTGAGAGGCACCACAGCTCTGTCTGGAGATGGTGTGCTAAGAAGGAAACACAGAAGTTCACAAAGAAGATAATTTTTCTTGGATGAGAAGTGTGAACAGGAGCGCTGTTTGTCACCTTCAGCCAGAATGTTGTCTCACATCTGCCTGACCTGGGTTCTCCTGGTGCTGCTCACAGGTAACCAAGGGTCACAAACAGCTGGGGGGAGGTGGGTGGAGGAGACACACATCAGGGATTCTGAGGGTGGCAAAGAGAATTTTGTCTTGCAGCAGGAAGAGTTGCCACATAGAGGCTGCAGTTCTGTGTTAAAATAGAACTTCGTGATGGCTCAGTAGAGTTCTAATGACCTTTTCTCCTTTGTGAAACAGAAACATGCCGAGGGTATGGTGGTTTTAAAGATGCTGCTTCTTGCTAATGGGCTTTTTTAGACAATGATGATTTGAGCAGAGAACTTCAACTTGTTTTAGAGAAGATGTAAAACAAAGACAATTTACTTTTGCAGGCTTTGTGAAGATGAATGCTTAGGTAGACAGGGAAAAGATCAACTGTGGCTTCTGGTGTTTCTTAGCTATATGAAATATTATTGAGACAAATTGAGAATTTTTCCTTTTTTGTTTTTAAATCCTGAGGGAGAAGTCCTAGATTGTTAACGGCAACAGCAATGAAAACAACAGGTTGCAAAATGCTAATAATAAAGATAGACAGACATAAAAACTTGGTGGCAAAATAAACTCAGTAGAAAGAAAAGGGGTTTTACAGATATTTCTTGTAGTTTTTTATAAAGCCTTTTATGATGAGTCACATTTTGAGCTTCCTTTTCATATTAAAGAAGATCAGCTGGTTTTAGAGACTTGTTTCTAGTGTGTTTTTTTGCTGTCATGAATGATCTACTGGATGTTAGGGCTCACTGTCTTGACCTGAGTAGCGTGACAGCCTCGAGGAAATGTGACAAATTTATGGGGAAGCAAACAAGTTAAAAATTACATAAGATTTAGAAGAGGGAATAAGGTAGTGGAACAAAAAAGAGAGTATATATAATATTCCTCAAAAAAGCCCTGAAACATTTCTTGTAATAAGAATTGGCAAAACCTGCCTTGAGGCAGGAGAAAAGGAAATTCATTCAGCAGTGATCCTTCAGATGAAACCTGCAGTTCAGTTCATTGAAAGGAGGGAAGAGTTTCCCACAGTGGTTTTGAGAAAAGTAAATGTCTCACTGTTCCCTTGTGTGTGTGGCTTGGGTTAAATGCACACAAAGGAAAAAGAGCCAAGAGACTGCACCTGGCTCAGGAGAAGCCACAGAGTTTCTTCATCTCATTGCCTATGTGCAGAGGCTGCAGAAAATGGTTTTTCTCTGAACGTGTCCCTGGCCTGATCGTTATTCCTCACTGCACCAGTCCTGCCAGGACACAAATGTCTATTTGTGCAAAATCTGATCCAGCAAAGCCTGGTGTTCTTTGGGAGATGGGAGGTTTCAGACATGCAAGATGCACAAGAAGCTTCCACGTGCCCTGTGCTCTATAACCCTTTGTCTTTCTGTCCACAGGCTCCACAGTATCAGAATCAATTGTGATAGGAGAGGTGGGGCAGGACATCAGTGTGCCCTGCCGTTACAGTGTCTGGAACAGAGACAGCATCACATCCATGTGCTGGGGCCGGGGCAGCTGCCCCAAGTCAAAGTGTTCCCGGCCCATTATCTGGACAGATGGCTGGAGGGTGACAGAGCAGCACAGCAGCAGGTACCAGCTGAGAGGGGACCTGCACAGGGGGGACGTGTCCCTGACAATCGTGGACGCCAGGGAATCAGACTCTGGGACCTACTGCTGCCGTGTGGAGATCCCAGGGTGGTTCAATGATCAACTGATTAATCACAAGGTTGTGGTGAGGAAAGGTGAGTGCAGAGCAGTGCTCTTGTGAGCACCATTGTGGTGGATCTGCTCCTGGGTCTGGACTGAAAGCTTGTGGTGGAAATGATTTCTGCAGTCATCCATAAGACTGATCTTGAGGACCTTGCCCATCTGCTGTTAAGCTGCCTTTGGCAATGTTGTTATCCCACTGCAGTCACTGCAGGTAAAAAAGGACATGATGCTTTCATGGAGCATTCTTAGAGACACCAAAGAATTTAAAAGGAAGGGCAGCATAACGTATTCATCTAAATCTTTATTGCTGCACCTTTGTAATTGAAAGCTGTGTTTGATTTTCCTTGCTTCATTCCAGATTAAAGCCCAGGGATGCAAAATTGGTATAGAGAAGCTTTTTATGCATTCTTCCTTTGATTTTTAGTTTTTCCCTTGCTTGTGATACTATTTAGAACAAGTGGCTGACATATGTACTTGTGCTTTGCTAGCAAATTTTTTTACTATGGAAACACTGTCTCTTTCTCAATACACAAATGCCCAATAAGGTTAATTATGTGTTAATTTTGTTTTATATTTTAACATCAGCAAGGATCTCTACTGCAAGTCCACACACTTACACCTCTGAACAGACCTCAGGTAATTTTTATCCAAGTGTTAATAGCATATACAAGCCATATTGCAAATGGGGAATCTTAGGAAGGAAAAAAATATTATAGATGATAGAAATATTTGGCTTAAATTTATTAAACATTACCAAAGATCAGAACTTGGATTTGAATTCTGCTTGATATTATACAGAAGGAACATGTATATTTGGGAGGAAGCTGCTTCCAGGTGTGATGTTTAAGTAGATGTTTAGTTGTACTGCAAGGTTTGCTTTTATTTGACTGTTGTTTTAGTTTGTTGGGGTTTTTTTGTGGTATAAAACCTCACCTCATCTTCTAGAAATGCATCCCATGAATGGTAAAACACAACTTTTAGGAGTTGGGTGTACCCACTATTTAATCACAACTGTTTTATTGGACTAGCTCAAAAGAACATCAAATTAAGGCTCCTGCCTCCTGTAGCAGTCAGCAGCAGAAGATTAAGGAGAATGGTAGAAAAATGGCATTAATTTTGTGATACAGTGCCAAATTATTATTCCACCTGGTTGTAAGGTGTGTCCCTGAGGCTGCCCACAGCCTCTGTGCACATTTAATAATGTGAGGGCCCTCACTGCAAGGGAAGAGACAGTGCTCAGCTATTCCTCACTTGTTTTCTCCATTCTCTTCACAAAAGGATAAACTTCTATCATGAACCCTCTCAGCTGCATCTTTCCAGTCTGAAAAAGACAACTTTAATTTCCACTACACAAGAGAAACCTCGTGGTGTAGCAATGGCTTATTCTCTGGATTCTGAAAAAAAATGAATCAGGGATGCCATTTGTATTTCTCCCTCTATCTTGGATGTTTTCAGCTAAGCAACTCCAAATTAGTGTTACAACAGTTGCATTTCCTTTTTGGAAGAAGAAGTGAAAACTTTCTCAGACAGTTTCCATTCTAGTTGCAAATAACATTGATTACAATCTTAGAACTCAGGGATTTTCTTATCCCTGTGACCTCTTCTTCAGCTGGTGGTGGAACAATGTTTGAAGTTTTCAGAATAAAGGTAGTGTGTGCATGATCACACTGAGGAGATGGGAAAAGGCAGGTGGCCATGTGCCTCTGATTTAGAAATACTCTAGAATCTCCAGTGGAAGCTGATGATCCTGTCCTCTTCAAAATAAAGCTTCTGGGATAAGCATAAGAATTTAAAACATAGAAGCAACCAGCTGGGGTTGGAACAGAGGGAGCAGGAGATTTTGTGTTCAGGAGGTTTTTATGTCATCTGACAACACAAGGAGAAACTGAGTCTGATGATAGATAAGACAGAAATTTGTAGCTTTTAATTTTAAATGTGGTGAACAGCTGTGCTCTGGGAAATTACCTCAAAATGTGCTGCAGGTCCTTATGCAAATATATCACATTTTGCTCAGTCTGTTTACTGTAGAGCTGCCTGGGGCTATAAAAGTATCACCTGTTTGCTGTGACTCTGCATCATGTGCTGCTTCAAGGTCCTGAGATAATCTTCATCAGTTTTCAGCTGATAACCTAAGTTTGCTTTATGCATCATTTTTTGCTTCAAGGCCAGGTTGGATGGGGTATTGAGAAACCTGGCCTAGTGGAAGGTGTCCCTGCCCATGGTAGGGGATGATATGGGCTTTAAATCCCTTTTATCCCAATCTGCTTTATGATCCTATGGCCACTGTTTCTTGGCTCCAGAGCTGACTGGTAACTTCTTCCCTTGAGATAACAGTGAGTCAGGTATTTCCAAGAAGGAGTTCAAGGCTCTGAAAAGAACAGCATAAACTTCAATATTCAGAGTTTTGTGCTGCCCTCGGAAGGCACCAACCTCTTATGATAAGCAGAGCCCAGACTGTTGATACACACAGTAGTTCAGGGTCCCAAGTGAGCTGTACAAATTCTTCCCTGTCGAGGCAGAGCAGTTTTCTGTGCAAGTGATGTGTTTGCCTTGCCTTTGCTCAGGTCCTGGCAGCACCAGGGAATCCTCCTTCACTGTCACAAGGACCTGGCCACCGGTTTCTGCTTCAGAAGCTCCTCAGACTGTAAGCATCAGCCTTGCTGTAGCACACCTAGACAGAGTGGAGGGACCTGAGAGGTTACTGGGTCATCCCAACAGGTCACTTCTGCTACTTTTGTCTGATTGCAACAGAATATTGTTTGCTAGTCTGCGTGTTTAGTGGTTATAAAGAGTGCTTATGTGCTCATTATTAGAGGGGGGGGGGGAAATACCCTGCTTAGCATGCATAAAGTACTTCCTTCTAGAGGGGAAAGAGCTTTAGCAACATTTCTATTTCTTTTCAGGCCTCTACTCCCTGCTCAGGCCCCTCAGACTGCCTGGATGTGGCTGCAAGCCTGCAGGTATGGCAGGACATGGGCAGGAGTGGAGCTTGGGCCACCTGAGAGCACAGGGCTGCCCTGCCCTCCCTGTGCAGAGGGGTCAAACAGGCAGCTCTGTGTGTCCTGCTCAGCCCTGCAGCACAGCTGGGAGGGTGGGACATCATGAGACATCTTATTCATTTAAAAAAAATCACCAAATATTATTAAACCTGAACAAATGGGATTTGGCATAATTCATGTCTTCTGAAAATCTCCAAGCCTGTGTTTAACAGCACAGTTCACACAATTGTTGCAGAGATTCTGCTTGAAACTGGGCCCATTTCTCACATTAGGGTTTGGTCTCAGGTGTGCTTTTCCTGCAAAGGTGCAAAACACACAGGAGGCCTTTGGGTGCTGCATGAGCTTCTTGCTGTCAGTCCCTCTAACACTCCTTGGCTTGTGTTTGACAGAACGCATCTGTGTCACTTCCCAGAGAGCAGCACCCAGAGCATGGGCTCTACATTGGGATTGGCTCATGTGCAGCAGTGCTGCTCATCCTGATTCTGGCTCTGCTCCTCTCTAAACGTGAGTACTTTCCATAGGCAGTGTCTCAAGGATTATTGAGGTTTGCCCAGCCCCAGCTGGGGCTGATGCCACATCTCCCACCTCAGGGCAGGGAGCTGAGATCCCGGGAGGCCCCTGAGCTCTGGCTGTTCACAATGGGAATTTCCTATCCTGAAAACATTTTTGAAGTTCCCTTGTTTAGTTTCTTACACATGAATTTGTTACAGGGCTTGTAGGGTCTTCAGGGCGAAGAGAGAGGCGAGAATCTTGACTTCATGTTCAGAAGGCTTGATTTATTATTTTATGATATATGTATTACATTATAACTATACTAAAAGAATAAAGAAGAAGTTCTCAGAAGTTAGCTAAGCTAAGAATAGAAAAAGAATGAATAAACAAAGGAGCTCTCTCTGATTCTGTCCCAGAGAGAGCTCGGTCTTTGATTAGCTCTTAATTGTACACATCTAATATGAGCCAATCACAAGTACACCTGTTGCATTCCACAACAGCAGATAACTGTTGTTTACATTCTTTTTCTGGGGCCTCAGCTTCCCATAAGGAAAAATCCTAAAGAAAAGATTTTTATAAAAAGATGTGTGTGACATCAATTTATCTTTGAACTGACTGCTTTACTTGCCTCAAATGGTTTAAACAAAATTAATTTTTTTTCTTTCTTTCTTTTCATTCTGAATGGTCCTTAGAATATTTTTACAACATCAAGAAGATGGGTGGTTCTGCAGGGTAAGTTTTCTGTTCCTGCTTTTGCTAGAAGGACAAATGAGGTTGCAGAAAAAAAATGTTGGTGTGCTGGCCATTCCCACCAGATCCTTTGGCTTTCTTTTTTAACCTCAAGTTTATAGAAAACATTATAAAAAGAAACTAGTAACTTCTGCTAGTTTTTGCTACTTAAAAGACAAAAATAAGCATCACTGTCAGTTCACATTACAGAGCTTTCTAACCTCAGGTGTCAATTGTCTCATAAGTGGAAAGATGATTCATTATCAGTCATGATCACATGTTTAAGCATATTTTACATGTTCTAGTGAGCTTGTTAATCTGTCCCTCTGTGGTTTTATTGTCTGTTTTTGGCTTTAACACCATGGTTTTTTACTCTTTTGTGCAGCCTTGTTGCATTTCAGAGGCCACGAGGTATGGGAAGCCATAGTGCCCTGGAAGAGGAGAATCCTGCAGAGGAAAATGTTTATATCATGGACTAAGGACTGGATGCATGGCTGCCTTTGTCATTGCTGGGACATTAAACAGTTTGCAAAATGTTGGCTGCTCCCTCTGCTCAGCAGCTGAGCGTGACTGCACTACTGAAGCATTATTCCCATCCTAATAATAAAACAAATAAAAGCTACACTTTAAATTAAAATCTTTATCAGCCTGTTCCAGAGACAGAAACCAAAACTGTCATTGGTGGAACTTTCCATTTCCTAAAGAAAGTTATGATTATATTTATTATCTGCTTCAAATTCTCGCTTCCTTGTTGGAAAAAAAAAAGAGGAAGTGCCAGAAGGGCACAATTGTGTTCACTGTGGATTCTATCTGCCACCTTCCACTGAGTCTGTGCCATCAGAGGGCAGAGCAATCTCAGAGCTGTGTGACAAAGAGGTCACATGGCCAATCTTGGTGGTATTAGTAATTTAATACACACTGAGTTGTATTTTCATTGCAATCAGGTATGGCCTGTTCTGGTAGCAGCTCAGGAATGCAATATATTAATGTCTGTCCACCTGGAATTAAATGTGGAAGAGATGTGGCTGCTCACCCCCACAGGGATATCCTTGAAGCCTACAGCATTAGAACCTCAATGGGCAGAACGGTCACAGCTTGTGTGCTGTGAGAGAATTATGACTAAGTGTGAGGTTTTTTGGCAAAGGACATCACTGTTTTTCTGTGGCTTTCTTCTCAGGTACATCTTTACCCTGAGAAGCCCTTGGGGTGGAAAGTCTCACTTCAAAGTTTCTAAAAAATCTGAACAACCTTCCCCCCTACCTTTGTAAAGCAAATGAAGTTATTTTCTTATCTTGGAGAGAAATCATGGACAAAATATTAGCTGGAAGTTGGCCTTGCCTTCACACATCTCTAGATATCAGGAAAAGTGAGGGACAAAACCAGCTCTGCCATTTTCTCTCTTCACATCATGTGTAGCTTTGTGTAAGAAGGTACAGAATCAGAAATGACTGGCTGGTGTCAGACTGTATTTTTGCATTTGACTATAAATAACAATTACTGACCTCAAATCTCTGCCCCTGCTGCACACAGTGCTTTCCTTCTGCCTGGCTTAGCATGTTGCTGCTGGAGGAAGTCTGATCTGGTCTCTGAACTGGCTCTCAGGGAACATCTTCAGCAGTTTCTGCTTTCCACAGTTTTATGTAATCAGTCTCTACTGGGTCAGAGTTAGACATGTGGGATCTCCAAAATCATCTGATTTCAACTGTCCCTACTCTTAAGGAGTTTGTGGGCCAGCCTTAAGACTCCTAATTATAAAAGATGCTTGTTCATAAGGATTTTGAAATGAATATTTCAGACTAATTCTTCCATAAGCAAATTTTTCATGTAAAGTAAAATTCTAGAGTATCTGATAACCAAAATCTTGAATCAAGCAAAACATTTCTGCTCTGCAACTGCTTGATAAACAGACTTTGCAAAGCTGGTGTGGAGCAAGAACTTTGCCTTGGGCATGCAGTGTAATACATTCCACAAAGGCAGAAGCTCCCTGGGCTTTTCCTACCTGCACTTGTGTCAGTGGATTTGGATCAGGCATTTCAAAAAGAGCCTCAGACACAAGCAGGTAAATGGCTTGGCAGCCATTCAGCCATCAGGAGATTGTCTGGCAGCACAGTGAGCTGATGAGCTGAAAACTCTCTTTTTTGAGACACCTCTGCCTTTTCTGCCTGCAAGAAGCCACTAGATAGGAGTACAAAAGCAGAAAGTGCCCCATGTGTTTGTGGTTCCTCCCAGCACACTTGGATTTTGGGTGTCCTTTTTCCATGCACTCTGCTGTTGGCCCAGCCTTGCTATAAAAACAGAGCTGATAGGATGCTGTGTTCACCCTCTGCCTTTCCTGGTTGCCTGTGACATTCTGTCCATTCTGTCTGGACAAGCTTCATAGGAATTTGTAGCTGAATTATGACCCAGCTTTGTGCCCCAGGTGAGACTCAGCTGCTCCCTGCTCTGGCATCAGCTCAGCATCAGCTCACAGCCACTGCTGGGTGGTCAGTAATGGGAGAAACCATGATCATTGCAGGGAAAAAGTCTCCAGGATATTGGATAGCTCAGCTTTCATTAGTTCTGCTCACAGAGCAGCTGGGGCTGGGCCATTGTATGAACTGTACCTGGTAGAATATAGCAAATTAGGCATTTTACTCATTGCCTTTACTGCTAACATTTTATTTGCTTTTTTCAGTGCTAGCAAGCAGAAGGGTGATATTTTCATGGGCTTGACTATCATGATAAGCCTAAAATCTCATTACTAAAAGTGTAATGCCTGGTTAACAGCCCATCATTTTATCATTTGAACTTGGAATTGCACTTGTTTGCACTGTGCTACATTTATTTGCACAGAATTTTGTCTATCTGCAATTCTTCATTCGTGACCTTACTGCCCTGAATTACTTTTGCTTTATTACTTGGCTGCTCCAAAGAACTTTCAGAGAACTTATTTGTCAATTGGTCAGAAAGAAACAAAACAGTCAGAAGGAGTGAAATGTATTTCTTGAAGATGATGTTGCATTTCTTTGGGAAGGATGTGGTTTTGGCAACAAAACATTTGCAACAACTTCCTCCAAGGCTGTCTCTGCAAACAGAAAATGAAGCTGGGGAAAGAGAGGGGTCTTCAGGCAGAAGACAGAAGCATGGGAAATGAGAGATTAAGAAAATGTAAGTGAATACACAGTCTGAGGGGAGACTACACCAAATGTTTAGGGGTGTAAAGGCACAGAATTTGTTTTTGCCACTCAGGACTCTGGAACAGAACTGGGCTTAAAGAGTTCCAAGGAATGGCAAAGCATATAGAATATTGAAATTTCTGGTGATAGTACCATGCTAAATGTCTTGGAAGAGGAAAGGTGAAAAGGACAGCCTGTTCCAGGGATTACTGCCCTCTCACTAAATACTTCCTAATGTCCTGTGTAAAACCCCCTGGTGAGCTTGGATTCATCCCCATGTGTCCTGTGAGTGGCTACCAGGGAGGAGGGATCAGCATTTCCTGTCCATGTCCCCTCCTCAGGAAGCTGCAGAGAGATCTGAGCTCCTCTCAGCCCCCTTTTCTCCAGTCCTGGAGTCCCCAGCTGCTCCTCACAGGACATTCATTCCAGGCCCTGCCACCTTCTCAGTTGGCCTTGTCTGAGCACATTCACAGAATTCACAGAATTCACAGAGTCACAGAATCACTGGGTTGGAAGAGACCTTAAAGATCACCAAGTTCAACCCAGCCCCACCACCTCAAATAAACCCTGGCACCCAGTGCCACATCCACTCCTGTTTTAAACGCATCCAGGGATGGTGACTCCACCGCCTCCCCGGGCAGCCATTCCAGAACTTTATCACTCTTTACATAAAAAACATTTTCCTAATGTCCAACCTATATTTCCCTCGATGCAGCTTGAGACTGTGTGCTGTGGTTGTGTATTGCAGTACCTGAATGTCCTTAAATTGTGCAGCCCAGAGCTGCCCACAGTGCCCCAAGTGGGGCTGCAGAGCTCTGAGCACAGCAGGAGATCCCCCTTTGGCCAGTTCCTATCCGGAAACACTCTCAGCATGTCAGATCTGGAAATGGAGAAATGAGACTGCAGTGAGACTCACTCAGGCTCAGGAAAGGATAAGATCTGGTTTCCTACTCTTCCACTCACTACCTGGGTGTCTCCATCAGCCAGAATGTCCCATTTTGTGCTGTTTTACTGGATGGTGATACAGATCTTTATAGGTGAGTCTTCACCTGCTTTTTGTGTGTTTGCTCAGGAAATTAACATTGTTTTCAAATGAAAACCAGCAACACTTGTTTTGTGAAAACAAAACAGTGAAAAAAATCATAATTGTATATAGAACTTCAAAAATTTTCTTGTTTACAGAGTTAATATTGCTTGAAGGTTGTGGTTTTTTCACTTTCAAAAATGTATGCGGTTTTCTCTGTGTTAGTTCCCTTGTTCTTTTCCTTTGCAGAGCTCCTGAAGGATGAGAATGGCTTTTTGTTATCTGCTCTTTAACTCAGCTCCACACTGAGAATGTGTTGTCTTGAGGTTCAATAGCCAGTTAAATGCTTCTTTTCTGTTTATCAGTCATACTCTCTGCAATCTCATCAGTAAAGAAGCTTCAGTAAGAAAAAAAAAAATAAAAAGGATTGATAGGGCAAACATTCCAAATATCTTCTGCAAAGTAGGAAAATTATTCCAGGAATAGATCAAGGGGGAAAAGAAGTCTTCTCAAACATCTGTTTGGGCTGGAGGATGAATGTTTTTGTCCATTCAATGACCAGTTTGTGGGAGAGAGGACAACTACAAGAGCAACTATGGGAATTACTGCTTAGTGCCAGTTGCACCTGAGGGTGGGTTTGAGAGAGAATGAATACAAATATGAGCACACCTGTATGATCTGACCAATTATGAATACCCCTTTCTATTTTGGGTGGGATGTTAAACATCTGGAGTCCATTTCTCTCTCACTAATGAAGAACCTAAGAGAGGCAAAGCTCACAGAATTCAGTGGGAAAAGCAAGGCAGAGCCTTGGGTCAAACCTGGGTGCCTGGAAGGTCGGGGCAGGATTCCCCTCACAGGAAGAGCAGGGTCTCAGGAAGCTCCTAATTTCAAATACATGTTCATTCCCTCCTATTTACTGTTTCCTTTGTAAAATTAGTCTGTAGAAGAGGCTGCACCTGAGAAGTAAGTTATTTAATCCTTATTAAATAAAGATTCATGCTGTTCAATCCAGGCTGCTGCAGTATTGAAGCTCTCCTCAGCAGCCTGCAGTGCAGGCAGATGTTGGCAACATTAGCTTCACAGAAACTGACAGAGGATTTGAAACTGCAAAACCTGTAACTTTCTAACAGGAATACTAGAGGGAAACTGCACTGAAGACACTCTGATGCCTCGTGTCTTTCCTCTTCTTCTTTCAAAGTGTTTACTTATTTATTGACTAAGTTCAGGGCTCTGCTTCTTCCAAAGAGAAGAGCAGGCAAATTTTCATGTGTTAAAGGATTGCTATATGAGGCTGTTTTTGTGATATGCAGAAATGAGCTGAAAGACTAGAAGATGAGCCCATTTCTCCTCAAGAAGCAGTGACCTGAATCCTAGCAATAGTTTTAGCTGCTTTTGCACACATCTTTGATGGACCTTCTTGAAAATATGTGTTAACCTGCTCATGACTAACCCCTGCCTCTCACAGAAATACTTTCAAGGTCAACTGCATGTTTGGTTCTGTCTCCATAGAGAGAAGCCGTTTTCTCTGTTTTGCTGTTTCAAGGCAAATGAACCTTCCCTTTCCAAGGGCCAAAGCCACCATCTCTCAAAGCCTTATCCTGTATTCAGGAATTCAATTTTCTGGCATCTCCTGCCTTCATTTCTCTGCAGAAGCTCCTGCCCTTCAGGCCATATTGCCTGTTGTTTTGTCTGCCTCTATTCTTTCAACATTTGGAGCTGTGGAAACCTGAACGGGTTGGCTTCTCTTGCCAGTGGGATGAGCAATAATGGATCTGAAATGTCATTCCAATAACAAGTCATGAGGCAGCCTGCCACAGACTAAAGCCTCACCTAGGGAATAGTCCATTAAAGAGAAAACAAAAGGGACATGGACACAGTTGGAAGCATCTGTTTTCTACCCGGGAGTTGTGCCAAAAAGGAAAGGCATTCAAACATCTGGCAAAATAGAAATGTTTGGCAAATCAGGGCTGAAGCTGGTGATAATAGCAGCAGAAGCAAGTCCTCTTTGGGGTGAGCAAGCTGGCCATGAGACATCAGATCTGCAGGGCTGGAGGACAGGTCTGGTTGCTCCCCAAGTTCATCAGTTCCTGCTCCACAGTGTGTAAATGATAACATGGGGGCAAAAGAAAGGTAGGACGACTGACACAGAGCAGGTGGGTGTAAAGCAGGAAAGATCTGGGAACTTTTTTGTGTAATTCCTTTTGTGAAGAAGAAATCTGTTTTAGGGCAATCTGGGAACTTCATAGATGGTTAAGATGGAATAATATACAGAAGGATTCAGACCAGATGCCAAGATGGGCACTGACTGTAAACACCAACCTAAGCTAGTCACTAAGAGTAAGAGGACAAGGAAAGTGTGTATGGGCTCTTTTTAAAATCAGCATAGCACCAACAACTAAAGTTTCTCTGTAGACAGAGTTCCACAAGGTGAGTGGGATTGGTTGGCAGGGCTTGCTCAGTGCACTTTCTGAGAACAGGTTCCTACAGACAGATCCCACTGCTGTGCCAGTTTAATTAGGCCCTAATTTCACACATGAATAGGTGTTTTGGATCCTGCTTTTGAGACTGTCAGTGAAAGGCAACTGTGACAGCATTTCCTTTTTGAAGGAGGTGATGGTGGGCTGAGAAAACCAGATGTCTTTCACAACAGGGTTCTGAACAACTTTCAAACGGCCTCTTAGGAGAGGAGATGGGATGGGAGCAGAACTCTCAAATTCCATTTGCAGAGGTCCTGTTTGTGCTTGGGCTGCCAGTGACAGACCCCAGCTTTGCTCACCACATATCTGATGTATTTTATAAGCCTCTCTTCAGCACCTGGCCAGGACCAGAGCAAAGAGCAGAGCAAAGCCTGATAGCTCCTGGCTGCTGCCTGTAGTGCCTTGGGGCATGAGCTGCAGGAGAAGCCTTGGGGATCAGCAGCTGTGGCCTGCAGGCTGGAGGGTTTGGTTGTTTGTTACAGACATATTTTATGAAAAATCCCTTTGCCAGGATTTTTTCTCCTGAGAGGCCTCAGAAACAAAATGTAAACAATAATTATCTGCTGCTGTGGAATGCAACAGGTGCATCTTTGATTGGTCTCGTGTTGTTGTTTTTAATTAATGGCCAATCACAGTCCGGCTGTTTGGACTCTCTGGTCAGTCACAAGAATTTATTATCATTCCATTCCTTTCTATTCCTTGCTAGACTTCTGATAAAATCCTTTCTTCTATTCTTTTAGTATAGTTTTATATTTATACGAATAGTATATATATATAGTTTTATATTTATATATTATTTATATAATTTTCTTTTACTATAATATATATAATAAAATATTAAATCAGCCTTCTGAAATATGGAGTCAATATTCTCGTCTCTTCCCTCATCCTGGGACCTCTGTGAACACCACCACAGTTGTTCACTCCCTGTGTTGCGTAGGCAGAGTCACCATGAGAGACTGACATCTGTCCCCTCTCCTTGCTCTCCCTGGCAGCCCCCACGGTGTGTGACATGGTTGTCAGAGGGACAGAGGGACAGCCTGTGACCCTGCCCTGCTCCTACCGCGTGGCGCAGCGCAAGGACATCTCCGACATGTGCTGGGGCAGAGGCCGCTGCCCCAACTCCAAGTGCTCCAACAAAATCCTGCACACCAGTGGCCCCACGGTGACGTTCAGGGTGTCTCAGAGGTACAGCCTGCGTGGGTCTGTTCCCTCTGGAGACGTGTCCCTCACCATTGGGGCGGCCCAGGCGCAGGATGCAGGCCTGTACTGCTGCCGCGTGGAGATCCCCGGCCTCTTCAACGACATCAAGCGCAACATCCGGCTGCTGGTGGCCAGAGGTGGGTCTGGGGGCCTTGGGGACATGGCCAGCAGGGACAATCCATTCCCTAGGTACTGAAATTGGAGTCTATGTGTGCTTTTTTTGGTTGTTTTGGCCAAAGAAGATCTCTGTTCTTAAAACCCCTCAGCCCCGTGAAGTGAAATTTAAAAGAGACAGGTGTCCCAAAAGTGAGAGACTGTGCTGTTTTTAGAACTAAACAAGGCACCCTGAAAAGAAAAACCCTAGAAGCAGCTCTAGTCCATGGCAGTAGTGAAAGCACTAAGCATAGAAAGATGTCACGATAGCAAATAATCTCCAAGCAGTGCCACGTGTGACAGGAAACACAAGAAGTCTCAACTGTGTTTCCAAAAGAAGCCTATAATACAAGAAAGACTCCTCACTCCTTAATAAACTGAGAATTGATTATCTAAAAAGTAGTGATAGACTAAGAATTAGTTATTTAAAAGATAGATGTATTAAAAATTTAGTAAGAAGAAAAAAGGTTTTTAGAAGTTTTTCATTCTTTCTGTGTGTTTCTTTTTACATATAGTTGTAAGTTAATAAAGTTTTCTCTTCTTTATTCCTAAGTTAGAGCCTACTTTACTCTATTCCTCGTCACATCTCACAGCAAACACAAAAAAAAAAAATATTTTCATAAGAGCACTGACCTTGCGCCAGCATCAAACCATGACATGTTTTTCCCAAATTATGTATTTTTCAAGGGAGATCACAGAATCAAAGAATTCACACAGAATCACAAGGTTGGAAGAGACCTTCAAGATCATTGAGTCCAACCCATTCCCTGACACCTCAACTGAACCATGGCACTGAGTGCCACATCCAGTCTTTTATTGAGTCACAGTGAATGCGCAGTTTAAATTAAAACAACTCCCTAAATTTTAACCTTTTTTTTTTTTTCCTTTCAAATGAATATTTTATTTCTCGCTGTGTAGCTCGGCTTGACTTTTTAAAAGATGATGGAATTAAAAAGGGATTTGTAATTTAAAGAGCGCTTGGAATGATACTCAGTTTTTCATTTGAGGTTCACCCCAACACTTAAGACTTTAGTTTCATTCATGTTGTAAGGAAACACATTAGGATGATCCACCCTTAAGGGTGCTTCCTTCCCCTTAAGGGTGGGTCCTCAACATCCACATATTTGGAAATTTTGTCTCAGAATCTTGAAGGGCTTCTTCCCCTTCCTATTATTTTTCTGAGCTGCAGGATAAAGCAAATTCTTGCACAGAAAAAAATGAGATGATACCCACCCTCCACAGAGCAGAAAAACATTTCTTTTGCGGCTTTTACAGATCGGGGATTGGTGTTCACAGCACATTTGTTAGTCTTTTTTAAACAATAGAGCAGGAGAAAGTGTGAAAAATGCTGCAATTGATTGTCTGCTCCTGAGGCTGAGGCAACAGGCCATGAAAAAAAGAACCAGTTGCAAAAATTAGCAAGAAGATTGTAGCTGAAAAATGGAGCTGTATTATTTATTATATTTTTATGAGGACATTGAAAAGCAAAATAACAAAGTTTTCAGGCTTTGGGGTTTTACCACACCAGGTTCTGGCCCTTCCATTTCTACAAGACGGTCAAGGAGGGGCTGTTTGAGACTGGTAAAAGCAAAGCAAATCTATAAATCTGTGAATTTCTTGGACTGGTCGTGCTTTCAGCTAATTAAAATAGTAACTCCCCCACCTTCATTTTCAGTGTTTTAGCAGCCAGATAATTTTTATTCAGTTCTGCATTGGCTTCCCTCAGGGTTGGTTGTGAATGCTCTGACCTGGCTTTTCCCTTGGCTGTGTTTTTTCCATGCAGCCCCTCCAGTGACCACCACCACCACCACCAGCACCACCACCACCAGCACCACCAGCACCAGCACCACCAGCACCACCACAGAAGCTCCCGTTTTCTCCATATATTTTACAGAAACAACTTCTGCTCCTCAAGCAACCTCTGATCCCCAGCCAACAACAGAGACCACAGTCCTGCTGACAACCAGCCCCCTTCCACCTGCAACCACAGCCCCCCAGTCTCCAGCAGTAACTACAGGGGACACCTCTGCTCCCCCAACCATTGCTGTTGGGACAGAAAATGATATTTTTACTGAGACTGTGATGGAAACGAGTTCGTCCCCAGATTTTCCAACCACTTTCCAAGCAGCTGATGTGACAACTGAAGATGACATGTTCTGCTCCACACTCCCTGGAAGCACAGAGGGTAACAGCACCAATCCTTCCCTTTTTCTGTGTAGCAGAGATGGTCTCTGTTAGCCTGGCTGCCATCATAGAGACTCTCCAATATTTATATTTATATCAGGGAAGTCCTCTCTGAGATGCCTATGGGTGTGTTTCAGGGGGTTTAGGCAAACACAGGTCAGTAGTTGTAGATGATGCAAAATTGGGGTGAACAGCCAAGGCAGCAGAGGGTCAGGCTTCCTGCAGAGGAGCTTTAACATGGAGAAATAATGTGGCAGAAACCTCATGAAGTACAACAGGAATAAATGCAAAGCACAGCACCTGAAGTGGGGTAAGAGAGATTCACTGAACTGTGCACTAATTTTTTTCCTTGATTTGTGAAAGACAATTGAAATTGCCTGGTGAAAAGTTTAGTTTAGAGCATGTTCTGCTTGAGAAATAGTGACAATTCAAAGCATGTTTAAAAATGAGTATTTACATTCTCATCTCATATGAAGGCTGCTGCTGTTATTAGTGATCAGAGTGATCTGCTATCAAACCATTTGTGGGTTGCTACTTCATCCACATTACTGACTTCATTTCCACAGATTGATGTCTGCACAGATTTGAATGCCATGTGGATACCCTTTTAATTAGTGATCTTTATCAGCATTACTTTTTACTTTGTTTCAGTGACCACTGAATTGCCAGATAAACTTCCAGCTGCAGAGGAAACCTCCACCTCTGTCCTGATGGAGGAGTTGTCAGTCAGGGGTGAGTAGGATAACATTACAAGATCAGAAGTTTCCTTGCTCAGAGAAATTAAAAAAGTTGGCATCAACAAAACTGTTGAGTATCAAGAGTGCACTAAACGGGTACTGATGATTATTCATTGCAGCTGGCAGTATCAGGGATCCACACAGAAATTGTTTGAAATCACAATGTAACAACAGGTGAGAAAAACATGGTTTTATACCTCCAAAGGAAGTTGGTTTTGAGTAACTCATGACCGTCAGATATCTCAGGTCTGAGAGAAGTCAAAAACTGAACATTTCAACATGGCTGAATTCTCAGATATCTGATTTGTCATCACTATGAGTTCATTGAGATTTCCATTTTAAATCTTCCCCATGTGTTGTGCCCCCAACAGAGAACTTAATGCTAAAATTCAAGGATGACATGTTGTATTTGGCCTCCTAGTTCTAGTCAGAGCCATGTCTTTGATAAAATACAAGCACATGGGATGTGGAGACACATCAACACAGCTCCCACAGGGGGCTGGTCAGAACTGAGATAGTTGGGGCAGATTTGGTTATGAATGAGATAACATGCTATGAGAAGTTAAAAAAAAATAAAAGAAAAATAGCAATGGGATTATATCTTGGAGAGACACGATTTACAGGAATATGTAGCGACAGGAGAAGGGGGAATGGCTGCAAACTGAGGGCAGGTTTAGATTGGATATTAGGAAAAATTCTTCCCTGTGAGGGTGGGGAGGCCCTGGCACAGATTGCCCAGAGAAGCTGTGGCTGCCCCATCCCTGGAAATGCCCAAAGCCGGGCTGGATGGGACTTGGAGCAGCCTGAGACAGTGAAGGTGTCCCTGGGTTTTCCTCTTTTTTTGGAGAAGGCTGGGGTTTCCCACAGCTTCCTCAGCCACCATTTGTGGTGGAAACTGATCCTTCTCTTTTGGTTGCAAGGTGCTTTTGCCCTTCTCATTCCCTGACAGTTCATTACTCCTCACATGAAGCAGTGACAGCCACTGCAGCCCTCCCTCCTTCAGGTGGCTGTGCCAGTAATCATTTCCATCTCTTTCATTTTCAGAGCTTTCAGCAAATTCAGATGGCAGTGCTGGGAAATATGAAGATAGAGAAGATGAGGCAAAACTTCCTGTAAGTTTCAAGAGTGTTTGAGTAGAAATCAGAACAGCAGGACATGCAAGTGATTTTCAGTGTATTTCTACTACAGAGAGAGCTTTTGCAAACAGTAGCTTGAACTTGTATTTAGAAGATCAGGAACCATCTGTTCCTGTTTTCAGTGGCTAGAGCCAAAATCTGAGCATTTCATCTGACTTGGAAACCTCAGAAAAAACTGATTCCCTGTGAGACAGGGGAGGTGAGATGGGGAAGGTATCATCCTTGAGGTAAAAGGCAATTTAGGAGGCTGTTGGCTGTTACACCTTCCCATGTCTCTAAGAGAAAGATGGGGGTGACTGAGCTCCTACCTCTACTTTGGGCACCTTATTGAGAAGTTCATGCTAAATGGGCTGAATCTGATTTCAGCATTTCAGAATAAGGTTTATTAAATGCTGAAGGGTAATTAATGTTGTTTATCATGATGTCTCTTCTCAGCATTTTGTACAGGCAAGCTCAGAACAGCATTGCAAACTGGAGCCCAGTGCTCTGAGCACCAGTGCAGCCCCTCCTGTGCAAATAGCTCTGAAGGAAATGTGTTCCCAAAGCCTTTTCAGCCTCTCTATTCTCCCTTCCAGTTTCCCAGCTCTGCCATTGTCATTGCCTGTGTCGTAGCGGGGTCCATCCTTCTGGGCTTGTTGGTTTGGAAACGTGAGTATCCTGAGCTGAATGATTCTAATGTCCTACTGAGTCCCTGGCTGTTCTGGGAACTCTGCCATGGCCCTGCAGCCAGGGCTGTGCTCATTTTGTGGGAGTTTCTGTCCTTTCTCCAGGGCTGTGGCAGCATCAGGGGGCCAGGGAGGATGAGTTGGTGGGGATGCACAGGAGGCAGCCTGTGCAAAGAACCTGTGTCCTCACTTCTTGCAGGGCTGGCTCATCCTGTTGGCTCTCTCTTTATAGTTAAGTGGCTCCATAATTTCCTGGAAATGCTCCTAAAAGACACTGGTGTAACTGAAATCAGGATGGGATCCTTTCTTTCCTGCTTAGCCCACAGAAATTTTGCACCTTGCTGTCATTGCTTCTGAGCTCATTTGACAGATACATTGGAATTATAGATTTTGTTTTGCCATTGTAACATTAATATTATTTTGCTTCCAGGTAAACAGACAAAGAAGTTTATAGTGAAAAGGTAATCCATTTTGTAATTTCCTATTAAAAGTTCCAGTGTAATTTTTCTTAGAGACAGGAAGGTATATTGGCCACTGATTGTAACGGGTGCAGTATTGGCTTGTGGTGCTGATTACCAAAGTTGTATTACGAGGAAACTTCACGGAACTTCACTCCAGAAATTCAATAGTGGCTCCTAGATGCTGCTTCTGTGTAGGAATGAACAGAAACCCAGAGCAATGGAGAAATTAAGCAACAATTACTGCAGTGTAGTGACTATAGCATAAGGCAGTGCTTCATCTGCTTTTATTTTTGATTGAGTACCAGGACATGATACCTTGTGCAAATGTGATTGATAAGTTTATATCTTCTGTTTATCTTGAAAAAAATAAACCCATCACCCCTTTTCCAAAGACCAATAATTTTTCAATGGTAGCTGGTCCTTCACTGCTTGCTCTACCTGGGAGACAGGGACTGGGAAGAGATTCTTTTCTGAATCCTATGGTGGTTACCCTGCAGCTGCCATTACAGGGTTCAAACAACCCTTCCCCCCTATCCATGAGAAGGATGCAAGCCAGGCAAATACCTCCCTGCTGTAAAAAGTAGGAGTTACCTCATTGCAGTCACTGTGCTCAGTAGCTTCATGTTTCCATTCCCATGGGAATTTGCTGATGTTACAAATAAAATAGAATGCTCTGGAGCAGCAATGTCCTTTTTCCCCATCCACAGTGATCTGTGCTTCTCACTGCAGTGCTGGACCACCAGAAGAGACTGACAAAGCTTTCAGTGGTGCTGAAGGAGAAAACAACATTTTTTCCCTGTGAAGAGCTCCTACATCACCTGCAGATGCCATGGGAAATAAAAAGGGCCTGATCCATGCTGCACTGAGAGATACTTGTGAGCCCTCAAAATATCAGCGGGTAAAAAACAAAGGCCAAAGCTTCAACCATGAAAATTTGAAATCTTTGTGCAAATTTTCCCATATCACCCTTAAAACTCACTGCATAAAGAAGCTTATTTGAGAAGGGGCTTTATACATTATTCATGGATGCTTCTGGCATCTGCCTTCCTACTATCACATGTTGCACAATTGAATTTGTTTTTCTCCATTTTTACTAATGCTCTTCCTTGAGTATAACTTGTACTCTGAGGAACAGAAGAGATCACATGGAAGGCTGACTATCTTCAAATTGCCATGAAGAAAGAAAAGGAATCGTAAAATACAGATTTTAATGCTTTCATGTAATCAACAGAAAAATTAAGCAACAAGAATGCTGTGAGTTTAAATCAAAAATGCAGATTACTTAAGGGGTATCACTACTGCCTGTGATTCAGCATGTTTGAATAACCCTTGGAGAATATGTTAATAAACTCTGTAATTTTTTTGCTGGCAACTGGACTTTTTATGCCACATCCTACAACATTTCAACAGGAGTTAGGTATTTCCCAGGTGTGGAAATTATTGGTGTGCTGTCTCAGCTCTCCAGAGAAATACTGCAGCATTAGCAGAGGTGGGAGAATGCCCAGAAGACCAACCTAGAGGGGAATTTCTCTACCTTGCCCCCACAAACCACTAATTTCTAAATCTGTTAAGGAAAAGGGATTGTCCATAGACGGTGGGATCATTGATGGATGATCTGCAGAGATGTTGCGTAATCCCCTGGGCTCCTCACCCACCCTGCTGCAGTGATTTCGGGACAAATCCTGAAATGCCCCATTTCAGGACATGGCCTGTGGGCTCCCAGGCTGGGTGTGCTCAGCTGGGGCTGTGTCTGTCCCACCCCAGTGACTGGGGCTGTCCCACCCCAGTGACTGGGGCTGTCCCACTCCAGTGACTGTCACTGTCACCACCCCAGCACAGGGACCTGGCATCTCTCACTTCTAGCCATGAATCCCACACAAACCTGGGAGGAATGAAAGGAAACAAGCCAAAAAGAAAATCCCAAACAGTTTTGATGTAGTCCTTTGAAAAACACAAACTTTTCCTTTTTGCCTTTTTTTCCCCCACCCAATTAAACCTGCTAATTAAGTCAACAATATCTCCATTTTCAGCTTCCAATTGGCAGAGTTGGGCCAATCCTTTTGCTCTTACTAATTAGCTCCTCACTAATGACTTCATTACAGCAGAGCTGGCTCTCACTTGGGAAGGTTCTAGCACATTTGCTGTGGTGCTGGCTGGATTTAAAAGCCCCTGGTTTTGGGGAGTTGCACAAGGAGAGAAGAGATGGGAGCCAACAAAGTGAGTTTGATCTGATCAGCCATGTGGAAATACAGCCCTGAGAAGCTGCAGGGAAGCTGTAAGTGTAACTTATACCACTGAGCATTCTTATTTATCTTTTTATCCAGCCCAATTATTGAGGCAGAGCCTTGGGTTTGGAATGGCAATTGGAGGCAAGGATTTGGGGAGGGTTGTATTTAAATGAAAATTCATTGGAGTTATTTGTGAGGACTGGGGCTGTCAGAGTGTTCAGGGAAAGGTTAAAGTGAGCCTTTTAAATGTAGCTGGAGGAAATGCTGCTTTCTAAAAGCAACAGAAGCCCAGAATGCAGTCTCTGGGTCTAGTAGAGAAAAGCTGGATGAAAGCAGCAAGTTTTGAGAAAGAAAAGGCTGTGGGAGAGGATGTCATTGGCATCTGGAAATGTTGGCCTTTATTTTTAAGACTTTTACCTTGAAGGCAAAAAAAAATAAAAATACACTTGAGTAAAAATAAAGCACTGTAGCCAAAACCCCCTCTGGTAACAGATTAAAGCAATACACAGAGGGCACAGGAGCAAAGCCATTTGCTTTAAAACCACCCTGCCTTTCCCCAAAGCTGCAGTCCCTCCATCCTGGCCTCCCACCACCTCTCAAAGTGCCAAGCACCACGAGCTAAAATTACCCAGGTCTGAGTCCTCTCCCCAGCACTTGGAGCTGCTGGAGTTATCTCAGCACTTATGGGCTTGCACAGGGAGCCTGGGGCAGAGCAAAGCAGGATTTAATTTGTTTAGAGTCCATGTCAAGCCCAAATGTTGTTATATCTGGAGAGCCTGGTTTGGCTCTGTGGAGCAAGGCGGTTAATTAATGGAGGATTTAGCTTTTGGTCCAAGTAATAATTTTTACTGGTCCCCAGTACTTTGTGGACAATTGTCTGTATCAAAATGACTGATTAGAGAGGGTAAAGGAGGGCTGACGTGAGGAGATAATGACTGAACTGCCAGATTAGTATGGTGGAGGTACAGAAAAGCAATTAAAAAGGGAGATTTGAATATTTTGGGAAATGGGGTTGACTAATGAGGAAACAGGAGGAAATAAAAAAAAGAAAGGCAAGTGCTGAGTTAGGAATACAAACCCTTTAAAGAGAAACCAGAGGAATGAATTAAATATCATTTTGAGATTAATAAGAGACCTCTCTTAATAGACTTTATGGGACCTGACTGTTCTCATGGTCCCTTTCCATCTCAGCAGCACATTTCATTATGTTTCCAGGTTTGTTTCTTAGCCTTAATGTGCTTTTCTAGGCATTTTTTAAGGTTAATATAAATAAATCTCTTGGTTTCAAAGGTGAAATGTAATTGGGGCTTAAGAAAGAGCAAGCAGAAGGGAAGAATGTGTCTGACTACGTAGGAAATTAGAAATAAGAATAAATAGCATCATGGGACTTGGGGAAAGAACAGAGATAACCACACAGTGTGAGATGAATGCATGAAAAAGTGGAAAATTTTAGCCTGGTAGAAAGAAGAAATGTGACGTGCTGCCACAGACATGACAGCAGATGGCAAAATTGAGCTGCAGAGACTGAGCAGAGAAACATCTGGAGAGATGAGGAGAGGCTGTAAAGGTGATGCAGATTTGCTGACACTGAGCAGAATCAATGCAGCCTCCTCCAGTGACCATGGAGGTCCCAGGCAGGAGTTCCTGGGCTGAGCTCGTGGCTCCAGGGAATGTTTCAGCACACTGGGCTCTGGCTCATGTGGCCTTTAGCAGCACAATTTCCTGCCAGCCTCAGCAACCCCCTGGTTTTCTGGTGCTCCTGGGCTGGGGTGACCATGCAGTTCTCGGTTTCCCCTTCCCGCTGCCGTCTAACCCCAGCTGGGAGCAGGGTGGTTTTGGTTTCCCTTGCTAATTTAAAACACAAACCCGAAGACTCAGCAGCTCCTGCAGTCACACAGTGGAGGCAGTGACCTGGGAAAGGAAATGTCAGCCCTAAACAAAGCCAGAGCTCATCTCAGCCTCACTCCCTCCAGCCATCCAGCAGGACAGGGGCCTTGGCACGGAGTTCTCCAAGGAATCACCTTGGAGAGTGTTTAGGAGCTAAGAGGAGCGCTGAGATTGGAGTGGGGCTTCCCACAGAGAACCCTCATTTCCTCACCCTCATCTTCTCACCCGCATTTCCTCACCCTGTAGTGCAGAGTCACAGAATCAATGAGGTTCAAAAAGATCTCCAAGATCATCGAGTCCAACCCATGACTGATCCCCACCTTATCACCCACACCAGAGCACTGGGGGACTGTTCCTTCAACACCTCCAGGGATGGGGACTCCACCTCCCTGGGCAGCCCTTCCAATGCCCAACAGTGCTTTCAGTGAAGAAATTCTTCCTGATGTCCAGCCTGCACCTTCCCTGATGCAGCTTGGTACCATTTCTTGTCCTGTTGCTGATTCCCTGCCCCAGCTGGCCAAAACCTGATTGCTGGGAGCTGCTGAGAGCAAGAAGGTCCCTCCTGAGTCTCCTTTTCTCCAGGCTAAATGCCCCCAGCTCCCTCAGCTCTCCTCACAGGACTTTTTCTAACCTCTAAAGCTAAAGAGCTCCATGTAGTTTGAAACTGAGACAGGAAGGATCATGAGGACACTGGGAAGAGAGAGGAAAATTGGAGTGTGCAAATACCAGGGGAAGGGTTGGGGGGGAAGTTGTTGGGAAATTATTTCTGGTAAAAGTTCATTGCCATTTTTTAGTTTTTCAAGCACTGACCCTTATCCAAGGGGAAGGGAAATCTACCACTTCCCAAAATATTTTTTTTTATTTTATAAGAAAAGAGGCAGAATATTCTCTAACTATTTCAAAATGCAGCTTCTTTATTTAAGTATCTAGAAAAAAAGAGGAAAATTTAGTGAGGGTGTGTTTTGGGGTTTTTTGGTGGCTTGGTATTTTATAATACCTAGGAGAAGAGGTGTATGGTAGGTAATCCAAACTAGGAAATAATTCCTGTCTATATTAATGTTTTCTAAAACAAAGTATACTAAGGCCTGACTCTCTTATCTCATATACATATTCTGTAGTTCTACTGATGTAAGTGAACACTGAATCCTGGAAGGTAATCCCTTTTCATGCTTAAATGCACATCTAATGAAGATTCATGGCTTCAAAGGTACCAGAGCCAGTGTCATCCTGAACTAAGCCATCCAGTAGTTAATAAACATCACACAATCATCTGCATATTTAATGCAGGGCAGAGAAATTTATGGAGAAATCTCTAGCTTTTAATCCAGCAATGAATCATTGATGGGATTTTGGGTTGTTCACTTTGTGCTGAATTAAGTTGTCTCTCTTCACCAAGCGAGCCCCGACGTGGGCAGCGTCACCAGCCAGGCTGCACAGTGATGGATGGTGCTGGCATAAATTATTTATTGGCCATTTCAGATCACTTGCCCAGCAGTGAACTCAGCCAGTTAATTTTAAGTCTGTTCATCTCCATTTCTAAGTGTACAAAAAGGTTTCCATGTACATGAAATTCATCTCCCTTCCTTCCTTCCTTCCCCTCCTTCCAGTGAATTACTTGTGTGGTTTGGGTGGGTTTGAGATGCAAACTGTCCCTTAGGGGGTGTGGTGAGAGTGTCCTGGCATGGAGGACTGTTTGTCCAAGCTGATTCTGCTTCTTCAGCTCTCACTTGTGTCCTGCTTTAAAAGCTGTGATGTTGAAATGATTGTGATTCCTTAGCTTGTCTTGCACGTGGTACAATCCTCTTTAGTCCATAGGGGCTGTGCAGAGAATGTGTCAATGTACTCAGGGTGAGGAGGGAAACTCCAGAGGCTGTAATGATCAAACACTGATTTTTATTTTTTTAAATGATTTTAAATTTTATTTCTACCTGCAAGCCTCAGCCAATGCTGGGGCAGAGCCCTTTGCCAGGGCTTTCCTTTGAGCTCTGCTTCAAGGACAAGGGACATTCAGCCTCTCAGTGGAGCAGAGAGTCAATGCTGCTTTTGAATTCTGCTTGGTGTTTTATGCCCTTGGTCCATTATCTAATGGGGAATATGATGAGGTAATTATGGAAATACACAAATTGCAACCTCATGAATACCAAAGAAAGTCGTGATGATCCATGCTAAAAGAATGCATAAAAATGCAAATCATTTGTAAATGGGGAGCAGTAAATCTTGTTAGTATTAATAACTTGGAGCA